AGGAAGAAGAACGTTGTTGAAATGATGATCAACAACTGTGTCTTGTTTGTTTATCTGGAAATCAATAGGATTGGAGAAGCAGGACGCGTTAGTTGTTTTTGGTTTTAAAATGGTCTGCTTTTGCCATTGTTCGTTGAAGTTTCCACCAACGAAGAAGGACCTGAAAAATGGAGGGATCCCACACCAGGGTTTTAAATAGCGTTCACAGTCACGTTTTCGGTCGCGTCACGTTTATCACGGTTACAGATATAACGGATGCTATTACGGTCATTACGGATATAGCGATCGTGAATTTTTTTCGAATGAGTTGATTTTTTTTAATAAAAAAACCTTTATTTTTTCAAAAAAAATTGAAATAACGGAATAATAGCGGAATAACGGTCCGCTATTGTCGCGATTGGCCGTGATCCGTTAAATTGCGATTGCGATCCGCTGCTATTGGTGCGATCCCGCTTCACACCGTTATTTTCCGCGATAACGATTTCAGACACCGTTGCGACCGTGATGTAACAGCCATGATACCACTATTCGGCCGCTATTTGAAACATGGTCCCTCACAACAACTCTTTTGGAAAACCCTGCAAATCACCCATTCATTCTGCAAAAACAGAGCCCTTAGAAACAAAAGGATTCAACCTTTATACGCATCGCAGGAATTTACACAACAATTCACTATTGAGTCGTTATATAGTTTTGAAAGTTTCGTCTGTAATCGTTATTTCACTACTACGATACTCATAATGATTGTAATAACATCTGCTATTATCTCAATCGTGATAAACGTAACGTAACCGAAAACATGACTGTAACTGTAATTTAAATTCCCGATCCATTCTTCAAAATTAGGGTTGTTCATGGACGGTTAACCGTACCGTTTAGCCTAAACGGTCGGTTAACCGTTATAACGGTTATGAGATTTTTTCAACCGTAACCTAACTATTAAGAAACGGTTAACCGCTAGCGGTTAACCATTATTAACGATTCGGTTACAGGTTAATCGTAGGTTAACTTATTATAATTATTTGTCAATTTTTTTCATAATTCATACTACAAAAAAATATATAATTTAACACATACTTACACCAATGTAAGTGAATAAAATAAAAAATGTAGCACTTAACGCATACTTACATTAGTAATTATGTATATCTCCAAATATCTTACTACCTAACAATAAACACATAATTATATTGGTGTAAGAATATTTCTATATTTTCAAAGAAATAAAAATTAAAAATGATATATATATATATATATATATATATATATATATATATATATATATAAATATTAGAAAACTATATTAAGTTATTTGTGTAAAAATCTATAAAATTAGAAATATATAATTATAAATTTAATTTCTTAACGGTTAACTGTTGGTTAACCGTTTATCAGAACTAGAAATCGTAACCTTAACCGTTAACCATCATTTTTAGCGGTTCGGTTAAGCAAAATCATTTAATATTAACGGTTTGGTTAAATAACCTATTAAATGTAACAGTTAAACCGGTTAATGGTTACGATTAACAGTTTCATATTTTTTTTAACCCCACAACTCAAAATAGCTGGTCTAATTGGTGTCTTAGTCCCAATACTACACTGAAACTTCGATTTATTATATAATCTGATCTTCTACATTTTAGGTTCAAATTAATAACGCCATTAGTTATTGCCCTTAAATTCAATCAATCATGTTTAGTTAATAATAAGTTGGGTAAACTACACGTTTAGTATCCTAACTATCACTTTTGTTCTATTTTGCTCACCAACTATTTTTTGTAATCATACCTCACATTTAGATTTCATTTCATTTTGGTCATTCATCGTTAAAAAATTAACGGTGATATTGATGTGTCACTATAAGATAATGCTACATCTTCATTAAAAATAAAAATATCATGTCAACATTTCTGTTAATTTTTTAATAGTGGATGACCAAAATGAAACTAAAACTAAATGTTAGGTATGATTTTTAAAAAAACAATTGAATGATCAAAATGAAATAAAAGTGATACTTGTGATACTGAAATTGTAGTTTACACTAATAAGTTTACATAGCAATAATATTAGAAAAGTATAACACAAAATTGTCAATTAAAATAGAGGAATGCAAATTCAGATTTATCATAATAGAGGGACCATATCTCATAATTAGGCCAAAAGAGTTTTTTATAAGAAAGTTAAAATCTTTGGGTTAACTACATTATTGATCACTTATGTTTGTATTTTGTCAATTTTTCCTTGCTAATTTTAAAAAACATAATATATGGTCACTTTCGTTTTATTTAATTAACATATGGTCACAACAATTTAACTATCGCAAACAGTAAACATATTTGGTGACGTGACAATTAAATATTTTGATATAATCAAACATTTGATGCTTTTTATTTATATATTCTCTCAATTCATTCCTATTTATAATAAATTAAAAATGAATTCTATTCTCTAATGATGTTATGTGTCACCATTCAATTGGAGGGCCAACTTTATTTTAATTTAATATATTTTTACGTATAACCCTCTAGTTGAAACTAAAAAAAAAAAGCAAATTGGAACCAAAAGGATTTGAACCAAAATCATTTGGAAAACTAAGTATATACACAACCATTATGCTAAGATTAATACTTAATCTAAAATATGATATATATGTTTTGTATCTTAGTGTATAAATACTTAACTTAAATTCATAATATTTTATATATATTAACTTAAAAAAATATTTTTATATTAACTTAAATATATTTTATTATTAATTTAATTTTTAAAATATTTTATTTTAATTTAAAAATATATATTTTAAATTAAAATATTTTGAAGTTAAGATAAGAATAAAATATGTTTAATACTTTAAAGTAACAATATAATATATTTAATAAATTAAGATAAAATATATACTTTAAAAAGTTAAAATAATAAAAAATATATATTTTAAAAGTTTCGACAAGAATAAAATATATATTTTTAAATTAAAATAAAAATAAAATATTTTTATATTAAGTTGGTAATAAAATATATTTAATAAGTTAATATAAAAATAATTCATTAAAGTTAATATATATATATATATATATATATATATATATATATATATTATGAATTTAAGTTAGGTATTTATATACTATGATACATAATATATATACTATGTTATCTATTTTTGACCAAGTATTGGTCTTGGCTCAATAGTTTGGTACATGCTTGATTTTTTAAGAGACTTGGGTTTGAATTCTTTTAGCTCCAAATTGTTTTGTTTTCTTTTCTTTCAACAAGAGAGTGTCACATGTCACCCTCTAATTGATAGAAAATAAATATATAAAATTAAAATAAAGTTAGTTCTCTAATTAAATGATGACAAGTGGTACAACACATGTCATCATTTGATTAGAATATTAAATTTATTTTAATTTATTAAAAGTATAACTAAACGGAGAGAATATGTAAATGGCAGAAATCAAATATGTGAGTATACTAAAATATTTAATTGTCACGTCACTTAATCTGTTAACAATAGTTAACTAGTGATGATCAGTTTTTAATTAAAAAAGAACAAAAATAATTATATCTTAATTAAATAAAAAAGAATATAAATGATCAATCACATATTTAACCCAAAATCTTTTTTGCTAACGGAAGGAAAAGATGATACCTGAGCAGTTTTTGGGAGATTTTGGACAGGAAATTCGCTATCCAATCTGTATTCAAGGATGATCCAATTGGTTTTTTTCACCTTTTGGGGCTCGCCCTTTGGAAAAGACCAGAGTTTTCTTCCTCCCAACCAATGATTTGTGTCTGAAAATCTGTGTCTTTTCCGGTTGCTTTCCAATAGCCTGATTGGGTGGCCCTATTTGTTCTCATAGCAGTTGGGTATTTTCTATCTCTCATGCAGCAGAAGTACCATTCTTTCTCATCCATTTTCCCTTTCCCTACATCCAAACAACCACAAGAAAATTAATCCAAAATTTGAATTTGGAGCTGGCAAATGAATAAGAACAACTTACATGGCATCTCCCAGGGCTCGGATTTGTTCAAGTCAACCTCTCCAATGGCTTTAGCGGTGAAACTGAGATCAAAGACTTTGTTGTAAGTTGTAAGAAATGAGTTCTTCATCAGTTGGATGAAATCTGAACCCCGGAGGCAATTCCATTTGATTTTCATCGTCTTCTTCACCAAGATTTGACATCTTATAGGACGTATGATGTTGTTATTGTCCTAATTCCAAACATAATCAACTGAAAAGATTCAAAAAAAAAAAGGGTGCAGCAAAGAAATCAAGAATGAAGCTTATATAAGAAAGCTGAGGAAGAAGACATGGAACTGAAAGGTTGGAGAAGTGTTAAGAAAGAAAGCATGAAAAACAAAAGTCCCCCTAAATACTGGTCTGTGCTGTGCTTGTTTTTGAAGGAGAAGAAACGTGGTATTTAAGACTTATTTGGCCGGATTTTTTTAACAGTACACGTGAGTTAGTATTTGTTTAAAATCTTTTTAATTATTGATAATACGTAAGTGGTAATTGCTCAAACCAAAACGTTTAAAATTAATAACTTTATATTTATTTTATCACGTAGACCGTTTAATAGATTAGTATTTATGTAATAAATAATGCTTTGTAGTAACAAATAGTTTTGTGACCAGAGACAGTTAATCTTGAAATTCATGCATGTAACTTGGTTCGTAAGTTCATGTCTCCCTCTCGTCTATCTTTTTCTGTCTTCTGTCTTGTTTTCAACCCCAATATCTAATTGTCATATATTGATTTATTAGAGTTTGTCGTTAAACCTTAGTACTGTTTTCAACCGCAATATCCGATCGTGTTATTTTGAATTATTGGTGTTTGTAATTATCATTGTAGAGCATGAACCTAGTGATATCAATAATAAAAGAATTGTTGTTATTCTTTGAGGCATCGGGTTCGAGTAATAGAAATGTCAAGAGTATAAACGTTTAATGTCAAATGGTTACGAATAATCTTTGAACATAAACTACATTGTACTTAACCTAGATTAATAAAAAAAACTAACATAATAAGATGAAAATCAGCATTATACATGATTAAAATAAGAGTTTATTAAATAAGCACTTCTAGTTTAAGGCAAATAAAGCCTTTCTTTCACTGTGTTTAGCGTTTCGTTTTAACCTAAATCATTGCATTTGCAGTTTACCAATTCAAAGCTAAGAAATCTTCTTCTGTTTCTTGTCCTTCCATTCCTTGATTTCAGCTTCGATCTTAGCCTCCACACGTGCATGAAACCCTGGATATGGTTCATATCCGAACACTGATTGAAGTACCTGCACCCGAATCGAGCTCAAATCGCTTTAAACTCTTACAATTTTGGGAAAAATCGTTTCTGATTTCGTATGAAAGGATCTAAATTACTGCCCCGTACCTCGAGCAAAACGAAGAATGGAGCCATCAGAAAAGCTTGAACAAGATTGTCTAACAGAGCTGGAGCACGTTTCTGCAAAGAATAATTCGGCAGTTGCTGTTTTAAGAACGAATGGGATTGCAAAAGAGGTCAAGATGTTCTAACAAATTATAAAATTACTCACCTCGAAGACTCCATGGCCTATAAACTGTCCGGTCCAACAGAACAACTGAACAGCCAGCACAACCTGTAGAGAATACGGGGTTACAAACCATGTTTGGCAAAGGCACACAAAAGAATATATATGATTCGAAACATGGAAAGAGATCATTTTCTATATGCACTAACTCATCAAGCAGAGAATTCCATATCCGTTTTTTCCAATTTCAATTTTCTACCGTATCAAGTTTAGGCTAAACGAATAGTTATATCGATATCCTTCATTCAAGGGCATATTACACAATATTGTTCGATGTAACATTTTCCGGTAAAAGGCTTTATTATCCTTTTCATTCCAGTGCAAATTATCCGTAGACATTAACTCAACTGAGCCAACTCCATAGACAACACCAGACCTGCAACAAATATGAACCTAGAGGACCCTTAATTTTTGGTATTTACAGTCTAGCAAATGACGTTTAAACAGGGTAATAGTCTGTAAAAATTGTGCTAAGAACACAAACCCAAGAATTAAACTCTACCTCTCTATCCATTCATCCTCACCTTTTGATTTATGAACATGACTTACACAGAAATATCACATATCCGAAAAGATAGCTTAATAAAATGCAGTCAGAAATCTATTCTGATGGGATTATTTAAAAAAGTTGTTTTAATTTCGACATCAACATCAATCCCTAATCTGATAAACCTCATTTCAGAGCTAATATCTGATAAAAGAAAAGGGCAATACTAGAACCGGGACTCTCTCCATATTGGCCCATAGATTTTTCAGAACACATGGATATTGACTTTTGAAAAGTAAAAGGCTTGTACTTGTTGCCAAAGAAGACATAGTAGCCTCGGAAGCAGAATTTTATGTTTTAAACGAATTTATAAAATTTCATAGACAAAAAAATATTTTTTAAGATATAGGACTTTGAAATATTCAGTTGGGCGAGGGTTACCACCCGCACCTAGGGATGGACCGACGGTGCTAGAGTGCGGTCGTACACCTAAAATTTTTAAATTCCCTTATATTTTAAATTTTATCTTTATATTTTCTATTAATCATCTAATTTTATAGCCTATAAAATTTTATAACTTCACAACCCCTAATTTTTTTCATATAATTATCCAAAAAAATTTTTAATATAGTTTCTTTTATTCGCATCCTTGACATAAATTTATGCATCATCCCTGCCTAGATTGTTTCACATTCACACATTAAGTTATTCTAAAGAGGAGCCTTAACATGCAAAATCCACAATACCATACAAGAAAGACAAAGTTCATGCAAAAATATGAATTTAACAATCAAAATGAAAAAGATTTAAGGCCAATAAGCTAAAAACAATAAAAGAAGATGATAAGATAATCAGCAAAAGGATATTTTCCCCAATTTTCGTCAATAATACATACCTTCCAAGAGAGAGAATATCCAAGGTTTGCAGCAAGCAAACTAGCGCCAACCCAGCAAGCTAAACAAAGCAAAGCAGCCAAGGAACCAGCTTTCTTATCCAAAATCACATAAAACAATCCATAGAAAATAGCAAAAAGAAACCCGTAATTGAAAACCAAAACATGATTAAACCCAGAGGGGAAAATCCCAGATTGAGAAAGATCAACGATGGTAGGTGTAAAATAGAAAAGAGCAAGACCCGTGAAGAATATTGGCCAAACAAACAAAGTATGTATCAAAATGTTGACTGGGTTACTGTGATAAGCTCCATAGAATGCAAAGTGATTCTCAAGATCAAACAATCCTGCCTTTCCCATCTGAACAGAGTTCCTTTTTGGTTTTGTTTGCGAGAAAGAAAGTATATAAATCAGTTGGGTCTTGCTTTAGGATTTTGGCTTTTTGGGTTTTACGTTGCGTTTACGATATCAACGATGTTCGCGTTGAAATATGATATCAACGCGCTAGCTTTTGCGTGAGGCGCACCGTTAAGATTATCTCAATATGTTTTCATAAATCTATATTAAAATTCGAATTTACCTTTTATTTTTTTCTTTGATAAATTGAGGTGTATACATTATATTATATTTATTTAAAAACTCAATCATTTTATAATAAACTTTATCTTAGGAGTGTTAAAAAAAATCTGTATTCGTTATCCGAAATTATTAATCAGTATAACTATTACATTTAACAGGTTAATTAACCGAACTGTTAATACTAAATAGTTTCAATTAACCAAAATGCTAAAAATATGATAGTTAACAGTTAATGTTACGGTTATAAATTTTAATCAATGGTTAACCGTTAATAAATTAAATTTATGTTTATATTTCTAATTTATTATATTGTTACACAAATAAAATAGAATTTCTTTTATTTATATTTTATATATTTTTAATAAATTTATATACAAATAACCTAATATGTATTTTCATTTTTTTTATTTTTTATTTCTTTGAAAATATAGAAACATACTTATACCAATATAATTATGTGTTTGTTTTTAAGTACTAAAATATTGTGAGATGTATATACTTACACCGGTGTAAGTATATATTAAGTGCTACACTTTTTTTTTTATTGTAACACTTATATTTTGATATAATAAATAAGAGTAAAATGTTTTTTTGGACTAAATTGAATTTATTCAAAGTTTTCAAAATAATTCAAAGTCCAACTAAATTTGGAAGATATGTGTTCAATGTTTCTAAACTTTATCAAAACTTTAAAATGAGTATTTTAAGATCAAATTATATAAAAAATATCTTTCAAATACTTTAGAATGTTTTTCAAAGTCTTTTATTTCTCAAAATGTCAAAACCTATCTTTTTAAACAAGCTTTGACCAGAAGTTTCGAAACTTCTACAAGAGTTTCGAAACTTTTCAAGATAGTAGTCTAAAAAGTTTTGATACATTTCAAGAGTTCTGAAACTATCTCAAGAGTTTCGAAACTTTCCCTAAAGTTTTGATAATTTGGCTCCAACAGTCATATTTTTCCAATGGTTTTTTCAAAGAGTTTTGAAACTTTCCTAGAGTTTCGAAGCTTTGTGTGCAGAAAGTCTTCCAACGGCTCCAAATCTTCCCAAATGGCTAGAAACGACTAGTAACTCATTCCAACATATAAAAAGAAGTTCAAGACATTTGAAGAATGTACACAACACCTATCCAAGCAATCAAACACAAGAGAAAAGCTTTTCATCCGTTATTTCTCTTTCTCTTATAAATATTTGTGTTTTTGTGAGCTTTAATTTGTAAAAACTTTCATTTTTAGAGGTTTTCTTGTTTACAATTCTTTTTTTTTTGTAAAGGGGTTTTGGTTCTAGCTAAGCCTTTGAAAAGCTAGAGAGTTTGTAAATGTTATCTCTTTATCTTTAAAAAAGAAAGAACAAATTAGTGGATGGGTTTTTCCTCCAGCGCTTACTAAATCAAAGATTCTCAACCGATTAACAAGCTACTCTATTTCAATGGAGTAAATTATGCTTATTGGAATAATAGGATGATGCTCTTCATCCAAGCTACCGATCTAGATACTTGGAACTTTATCTTAACGACCAACTAGAGTTATGGTGCAATGGAGTGAAAGAGAGAAGAAAGAGTTCCAACTCAATGCTAAGGCCATGTACATTTTGTTTTGTGCATTAGGCTAAGATGAATACGCTCATCTTGTTCTAATGCCAAGGAGATATGTGACAAGCTCCAAGTCACTCATGAAGGAACCGATAAAGTGAGGGAAACAAAAATCGGTATTCTCAATCATAGCTACGAGAATTTCAAGATGAAACCGGATGAAGACATCAAAGCTATGACAGATATATTTTCCGTGATTGTCAATGGTCTCAAAGGATATAGAGAGATCATCCCAAACGAGAAGCTTGTTAGGAAGATGATATATTCTCTTCCAAAATCTTGGCAATCGAAGAAGACGACGATCATTGAAACGAAGAACTTAAAAACTCTATCGCTTGATGAACTTATTGGCTCCCTTCCCACTCATGAGATGATGAAAAAGGAGGAAGAATAAGAACAAGTGAAAAAACAAGAAAAGAAAGAAAAATGTGTTGCCTTGAAATCCTCCACTCAAGATGAAAGCACCTCAAGTGAAGAAGAAATGGCCAAGTTCTTCAAGAAATTTAAACGATTCATGACATCCAAAGAAGTTAAGAAGCGTGAATTGCAAGAAGAAAGGTCCCCGTTATGCTTTGAGTGCTAAAGGATGGACATGTCAAGTATGAATGTCCTCTCCTAAAGAACAAGGGATCAAGCAAAAACAAAAGCATTTGTGGCGGCTTGGAGTGATGAAGAAGACTCCGATGATGAAGTAGTCAACCTATGTCTCATGGCCATTCAAGAAGATTTAATGGTAACTTCTAACTCTTTTGATTCAAATTCTTATTCATTTAAAGAGTTACAAGATGCCTATGATAAGTTGTATTTGGAATTTGAGACCATAAATTCCAAGTATAAGAAATTAATTTCAAATTTTAAAGTTGAAAATGATTTGGTTTTGAAAGCAACAGTTGATTTAGAAAAACAAAATGAAACTTCAAAAAAATGATTTAGAGCTTTCAAAAATCAAAATCAATGATTTAGTAAAAGAAAATCTTGATTTGAAAGTTAAGCTTGAAAGTTTAACTAAAGAAAAAGAATTAATTTCTAAAAACAACTCATTATGTTTAAAAATGGTAAAATGCTTATATTGTCATTTTCATGGTCATTTGGAACATGTTTGCCTTTTAAAAAAAGAAAACATTTTAAAATTAGACAAGTATGGGTTCCAAAGGGAGCAAGGGGCATTGAATCCAAAGCAATTTGGATACCAAAATCCACATAAATGTCTCTTGTAGGTGTGTGGGAGCAATGGTGATGAAAGTGAAGATATTCAAATACTCTAGCCATACTTGAAAATGAATGGATAACCTCTAAGCTTAATGTTTTTATTTTTATTAATTGGTTGCCCATTTGTTGTATGCATGCATGAGTTTTGAACTTAAATGATTTTGTGTTGATTGTCTATCTCATGTATGTTAAAAAGTGTTGTGATGAACATTTTCTAAAGTTTTAATGATTTTTCATAAATGTCTGTTCATCATAATGAATTTTGGTCAAAATTGGTTTTAATGCTTTGTTATTACAATTATAATTGTTGACCTTAATTTTAAATGTTTATACATGTAATTTATTGCAAATAACATATCTCTAACAATTGATATCAATTTTTCAAATGCATAATATTTTTGGATAACTTTTTGCACATGTACTTAAATACAACAATTGGTATTGCATAAATTATATTAGACTTGGATATATTGAATTTCATGTGCAACTAACATGTTTGTTCATATTTTTTGAAATTCAATGTCTTTTAAGTGTCAAGCTTTTAAAGTCAAATTTTTGTTTGGAATGCATTTGTTGACAGGGAGCTTTTGATTTTTCAAATGATTTTAATGTTAAAACTACTACTTACTCTCCATTGTTATTTTGTACCTTAAAAGTTTGAATTATTTTTTATATGTAACAACCCAGAAATTTGAAAAAAAAATAATTGTAATTTGAGGTTTTAATTAAATAATTTGGTGAAATTTGGGGACTAAATTGAAAGATGTTAAAAATTCGTAGCTTGTTTTAGAGTTAAAGGAAATTCAGGGACTAAACCCTGAATTTACCCAAAAAAAGTAAGTATGTTTGGCTGATATATACGTGCAATTGGTTTCTGATTTCAGAAACCAATTGCTCCCAAATTCCCTTCCAAGAGCCCATTTTTCCAACCCCGATCCCGACGCCGTCCGAATTCCAATCGTCGTTTTGAAAACACCATCGTGTTCGTTATCGAGTGAGGAACAATCCCTTTAAATTAATTGAAGCGAAATGCTGCCAAACACCGGGAATTTTCAGTCAAAGCCTCGACCTTTTTTTAGCTCAATCGCTGAGAAAATCTTAAATTCATCGTCGATCGTTGCTCCGTTTACGACACCTCCCGTATCATCGTGTTCCTTGTGTCGTTCCGAGTCCGCCGGTGTCATCCTCGGTCTCCGTCGACGGCGACGCGTGGGGAGGTGAAGCAGTCAAACTTTTCGATTTGTTGAAAACGAGCTCTCCGCCGTTCAAAAATTTGAACCGAGCTACGGGTGGGTAAGGCTAAAATAACCGGTTTAACCGGTTTTTCAAAGGGTTGACCGGTTTGACCGGTTTTGACCTGACCCGACCCGACCCGTTGACCTGACCTGACCCGACCGTTGACCATTGACCGGTGGCATTTTAGTAATTAATTCAAAATGGGTGCTATTTTGGGAATTAATTCGAAAAGGGTGCTATTTTAGTAATTAATTCGAAATGGGTGCTATTTTGGGAATTAATTCAAAAAGTGCTATTTTGGGAATTTAATTCGAAAAAGTGCTATTTTGGGAATTAATTTCAAAAGGGTGCTATTTAGTAATTATTTTAAAATGATGTTATTTCTATAAAATGGTTGACAGTTTGTTGACCTCCTTTGACCAGAACTTTGACCGGCTTTGATCGGTCATTAAACAACCGTTAATCTTTTCCGAAAATACATATCCTGATATTTTTCGATGTCCCGAATTTGTTTTTGGGGTCGGTTTCACAAAATTCAAACCCGAAAGTCTCCAAATTGTCAGTCAAACCCTTTGACTTTGACTTTGACCAAGAATTTAAATATCCGAAAGGTCATACTTTATGTTTTACGACGTCCTGAATCTGATTCCGAAGTTCGTTTTTCCAATTCTGACCCGAAATTCCCGAATCGAGCTTGTAAACCCAAAAGGCTTAATATTTTAATATTTTGATTATTTATTTGAGATTTGGCTAAGGAATTGATTCAATAAAAATATTTTATTAAGGTA